AATAAGAGAAGTCACCATAGACCATGAGGCGGCCTGTAGGGTTCAAGTAAGAGGTTCACATATTTCATGGGAACACCTTTCCGCACAAGTATTTTGAACAGAATGCAGCGATCTACAGAATGGAACGCACTCTTGAAGTCGAGCAACACAACAATTCTCGGTCTGCGGTATGCGTGGCGCTGTTCTGGCACCTGCCGCAGAGTGAATATATGGTCTATACAGCAACGTCCTGGGCGGAAACCGGCCTGCTCTTCCCTAATCCGAGATCCCCGTACCACAGTGAGACGACGAACGAGAATCGAGGCCAGTAATTTTGTCACAACTGGCGTTAGGCTAATACCCGTGTGGTTAGCACAGTCTGTGCGACTGCCCTTCTTGTATATTGCCACTATAATCGATTCGCGCCAGTAAGCCGAGACACTCCGTTCCTTCCAGATACGTTCGAATAGGAAGGTCAGTGCTTTGCAGAGGACCTCACCTCCATCCTTAAATAGTGCAGTTGGGAGGGAATCCGGGCAAGCGGCACGAAAACGATTAAGGGATGTGATAGCGTTTCGGAACTCGGCCTCCAACAGAGGTTCTAAACTAACCGTCCACGGCTCGTCCTGCATCACCTGAGTAGGAAGAGGTCCGGGAGCAGGGGGCCAGATGAACTGATCTTGAAAGTGTTCCGCCCAACGAGCCATACGGCGCTCCTTATTGTGTATCAGTACACCCCCGCTGTCTTTGATGGTCTCACCCACGCCTGGTATTCTGCGACCAGTGGTGCAGATTATCTGGAAGAGCTTGTGGTAATTGCCTACTGCTCCTGCCTCCTCCAGTTCTTGAGCCCGACTGGTCCACCAGGCTTCCTTGTCAGCACGTAGGGTCAGCTTTAGTCCGCCCCTAATAGCTCGTCTGGTCACATTGTGCTCAGAGCCAGCCGGGAGGTTTCTTCTGGATTCCAACAGCTTCACCGACCTCTCGGATATCCAGTGACTGGTGCGGTGACGATTGATGGTGCAGTAGTTGATGGCCAAGGTGAACTGAAGGCTTGTACCAGAGTCCACTGTTCTGGTCTCAAGACCCTGATTGCGACGACTTCGGCAAAGACCAAATGTTGCTGGAACTTTTTTATGTAGAGTTTAGAGATGGTATAAGCGAACGTAAAAAATCATTCATCCGAACTTAGGGTTGCGTTTTGACCAATTTTGAATGTATTTCACTGTGCCTTTTCGAAGTGACGTGGGACGGAGTTCAGCGATCTGCTTGAACAAACACCTGACACCACATGTGCAATGATTCGGATCGGACCGGGAGTTTATTCCGCCAGTTCCGAAGAATCAGTGATATTGTTTCGGCAAGTAGCTTTGGACTAGCAGCTGGATACGTCTGGACCACTGCGGTTGTATTTTATCCAGTAGTTCGAAAGTAATGTTACCTGGTAGTAAAGAAAATATCATTTCTGCACTATAGCAACAAAGCTGGCGGAATCGAGTGGAATGGAATGCATTTTAATGAATAAGGAAGGATACCAATTTTCTTGCACCGTGCTAAAAACGAGTTTTGCTTCACTTCCAAGTGTCGCACGGCCAGAGGCAATTGCAGTTAGCCAGTCGAAAAAGAATCTCAAGTTCGGACAAATGAGTCCATTGCATTTGTTTACACTATCTCTAAACGCTACCCGCAGAAGCTTAAGCAACATCCACTGGTCAGTGCCGAAGACGTCGCAATCAGAGTTGAAACCAGAGCTATACAAACACCGGACTCTGGAACAGACCCCGAATTTACCTTGACCATTAACCTCATCCACCGTTAACTAAGCAGTGTTGATCACGTGTGTTTGCGTATGCTGCGGATATAAAGAGGCTAGTTACGTTCGACCATCGGTGCCTTCACAGTTTGGCTGACATCTGGTGGGAACACCGCGTGAGTAACGAGCGTGTTCGACGCCTTGTTTACGGCCCAGAAAAAGGGAATGAACCGCTCAGCACTGTTATTTCTCGCACCAGGCTCCGATGGCTGGGCCACGTGTTGCGCATGCCAGCCCACCGACTCCCTCGACGTGCGTTGTTTGCTCACCGGGGATGTGGGTGGAAGAAGAGGAGAGGTGACCAAGCGATGACTTGGTCCAGGGGAATGAAGTCCCTCACTTCGGAGCTAGCCTCGGTTGGAGCTTCACGGCTCCTTGGTTGGGGTCCAAAAGACGGTGAACACGTTTGGCTGGATACACTTGCTGACATGGCAAGGAGCCGACCTCAGTGGCGTTCCTGCTGTGAGTTTCTTTGTCCCTCCCTATCCCTTTTAGCCTCCCCCCTCCATCTACGATCCCAGTTCGTAGAGTAAAACATAAGATTTTTTTCTTTTTGCTTAGTAGCTGGCTGGTAGCTTACCGGAACGAGGCCTATCCGTTGCTGGTAGCTCAGCTGGCATGCAACTGTCGTATTTATTTTTCCTTTATGTATTGTATGTATGTATGTATTTCCTTTATGTATTGCGGTACAATAGCGGGTGTTTCACCACCTCTAGCTGACATGTAGTGCGCGCGTATGGTGCCTGGTCAGAATGAACCAACCAATGATTGAAATTCCCCCAACTGCTTAGCTAACGAGGTGGAGAAATGTTGCATCTTCCGTGATTAGTTATCGAACAATGACGGAGCTTATATGAACTTGTTCGCGCTATAACTTTGTTTTATAACTGTGGATGCCTGAGTCATCAACAGTAACCACAGTACGCAGCACCGACGCTTCGTTGCCATGCGACCACCACCAGCCGCATGTGGGCTAAGGATAGTGCGAAGGTCGCCCTGTCCCTACGCAGGTTCGAATTTGCGCCCTCAGTTTACAAGGCAGGCTTGTGATCCTTAACGCTACGGGTCGGCTGTGGATGCCTGAAATGATTTATCGAAAATATTATCTACACGATCGCTTACTTCTATTATGATGTTAGTAGGAATATGAAAAGAGGATTGTTTGAAGAGCACACACATCGCAGATAGCTTAGAAGCCGGTACCTATGTCCTAATGGCATAAATTTCTGACTAGTGGTGTAAGGCGACAGTGTCGAAACGTCATGGGCTCGGTTCCTGAAGTGGCCTGGGGAATGCGCGACATAAACGAGTCCCAATTGAACGAAATGGCTGTTTGATGCTTTGTTGGACATGTGAGTCTACCACCTGACTCGAATGCTTCTGCAAAGAACTCCCAATTACAGTGTGAATCGTTGAAAAAAGGACGAAAAGTTGACAGCCGGGGAGCGGATGCGGCCGCGAGAACAAATGTTCTGAAAGCTCAGTTAATCGTACTTTGACAGAATCTCATAATGCGTTAAGCGATCAGTAGTTACTGTAAGGAGATGCCGAAAGTCTGTTTTCGGAGGGTTCGGAATCGTGACAATTAAGCATATTCGTAGAGTGGAGGTCGATTAGCCAGAATTCAACAAGCCCGGTGGTTTAATACTTAAGGTCGCTTACCTAAGTTAAAGGTCCACAAGATCACTGCGGAATGTACAAGCAGGGTGCGCATGTACTCTTCCATTACACATACGTTCTCAACCTCCACGAGTGAAGGTGACCCGTACCGGGCTGTCATGCCGGCTCTTTCCGAATTAGAAAATTTACTAAGGGAGAGACCAACGGAGTATGCCTTAAGCTACCACGAAGGCATCGGTTAGTAGGCTGACGAATAGCCCTGCAAACTAACGTAGGTATCACGAGCCTTCAAATTGGAACATGATGCCGTAGGACTGGCGGCTATGCCGACAATCGTTATGGTCACCGAACCATTCAGTGGTCAAATTTACTTAGGCATATTCAGCGCTTTTGGGGATCAAGACACCAGAGCACACATACTTAAAGCTGTGTCGGTTCAAACCTTCACCAGTTCATTAAAGCCGCGTTCGGATAGTGGTTCTGTATACACAACCGTGGTACATCAGTATGAAAGCACACACTGTATCGACGCTCCGCTGCCACACGACAGTCAACAGTCGCGTGTGGGCTGAGCATACTGTGACGTCGCCTGCACTCACAGGGATTCGAACCCCTGATCCCCGGATGACATAGAAAGTGCGCAAATCCTACCGGTCACTGGCCGATATGCGCAATGTGTAGCGAGACTGCTCGTCTATGATCACCGATGCCAGAGGAGTACTGCTCAAGCCTGATGGAGCCATCGAGTGGTCACTCTGAGTTCACCCAATGGTTTATGGAAACGGACCCCTGGCATCGCAATGAACCGCCTATAATATCAAGATGACACCCTTCGCATACCCGTCGCTCGAGCACTTCAAGTGTACTGTGTAGCGGCACGGTAGTGTCAGGAAAGGTGGAAACCCAGAGAAACAGCCTATAAACCAAGTGAAAAATGTGAACTGTGAAAGCACATGGTTGGATAGGTGTGCACCGTCTTCCAATATTGTGGTCCCTACATCTACCACCCTATTCACTATGACTCAACCGTAGGAGTAGCAATATGTCTACAATAGGTCCATTAGCTTCAATCAGAAGTGCTCCCATTGCTTTACAAATAAACCTTTTTGACTTAGCATTTTCTCCTATTGCTCGACATGTTTAAACTTATTATAACAGCAGGGAGAGTTACGGCAACTGGGTGCACAGTAATTCGATGCCTAACCGAGACTGGTTAAATATTGCGAATTCTGTAAACTCGGAAAAGTGAATCAACTGTGTCTTAGAGAGTGTGAGAATGCCACAATGTGGACAAAATGGAAATGAGAAAATTCATGCGCATGTGGTGATTCCTTCTTAAAGAGAATCGGGTAACATCCGCGTGCTCCAATTCTCTTGTCCGGTCTGCATTCGGTTGAGAGAGTACAAGCACAGGACCACACATTCTGGCAAGAAAGATCGAACAGTTGCTGATTGTGTGCAAGGAAAGCAGTAATAGGCGGCAAACAGACCGTGTAAGCAAACGTTGGAGGTGAAAGGAAAGGTGTCCAGTTAAAGAGAGTTTGAAGGTCGGAAGCGAGGGTGCGATGAATTTCGGTGCAAAACTCACCCAAGAATTGTCTCAGCTCGATATTGGGCATCAGCTAACCGATCTTTGTTGGCGTCCGCCTGAGGAAAATAAGAAAACGAATCAGGAAGATGAGCTCCTGATCATGCAACTAGACAAGGCAAACTACTGCTAGTAAATAATAGAGTGATTTAATAAAGATTTCGTAGATAAATGCTAAGTCAGTGTGATTGGAAGCGTGAATGTGGGGTTGCCGTCACTTCCAATGCAATGTCAACTAGCAGCATTGGTTGGGCTGCCTCCAGAGCAGTTGAATCCCCAGTTAGCTATTGAACAATACGTCTGAAAGTCTAGTTAGCCCAGAATCCAATGTAGGTGAATAAATCCACGCATGTACGCGCACGCCACAAACTAGAAACTCGGAGCGGCACAAAGTGGACATTAAGAGAAAAGGCTTATCGAATTGACCACTACGCAAGATTGGACCAGTTTAAGACACAAATCCTAACAACATTGTTAATTTTAAAGAGGAAGATGCAAGCGAAGGAAAGCGTCCTAATACCTTCGTTGATATCTGGTTTGCAATGGCCTCCCAGAACTCCACTTAGAATTAAAGAGAAGAATCGAGGACACGCATGAACGGGTCACATGTGCATGCTTCTGAGACCTTAGCCAAGCATATGTGCGGGTTAAAGCAATGGCAGAAGGCTGGCTCAAATAAGTGGAGCATCCGATAAGGGGGATTGTGCTAACTGCTAGATATAGGTCTCTGCACAAATACTAGGGACACAGGTGGTAGTCAGCACAACCGCGTGGAGCTCTCTGGACAATGGATTTCAACTGGAATTTTCAATGTAATTATGATGAATGGTTGTATGGCCATCGGTAACCTATTGGGACGCGGTGTGACGTGGAGCCCAATTATCAAACTAAAAAGACTCACTTTACGATCTATACGCTCCAAAAGCTCATTGTGCGTCTTAATCTCCTGGTTCATATCAGTTGCCATGTTCTTTAGCTCGCCGACCATGCTGGACACCTGTTGCAGGTTAGTCTCTATTTCGGTCTCCCGTTCATCATTCAGAATGCTATAGTGATGGAAGTGAAACAGGGGACGGGTTCAATGAGACACAATGACAACGGAAACAAAGGAAAGTGATACTGCATTCAACGTGGGGTAGGCAAGCTTGCCACGCTGTGGGAAGACGATAGACGATCTGAAGTGGTCTAAGGCTTCGACGGAAACGACCGGTGAGCTTCCGAGATATGGATCGATTAAGAGATAACTAAATAGAACGACCCAATGCGAGGGCGGAGAAAATGCGTGTTTCATTGAGGCTGTGATAAGGGGTAATAAACAGATGGGCTAGGTCCACTAAAAAAAGAACGGAATCGCTAGACCGAAAGATCCAGGTGTAGCAACTTCGAGTACGTCTTGCTAAAATACCCAAACTCAAAAACAAACGACATCGAAAGCGCGGAAGGGAGGCAAAAAAGGGAGCTTGTCCCGGCCGAAAGTTCATGAGATGATCTAATATCACATCTCATCCTCGACGTCCTTATACACCGATAGACAAGCAGCACATACAAGTACCGTATGGCAGGTTTCGACGGGATGTTGGGTATCAAGAACACAACTAACTAAAGGTTTAGAAGGTTGTACACCTGGTAAAAATGACGGACAAATGGGCTGAAGGAGGGCCACGCTACATGCGATGGCACAACGAAGAGAAGAATAAGCCCAAGTAATGGAGTGCACAGAGCGCAAGTGAGTTTAGTTCCTGACTGTATGTAGCAAAATCTTCGCCGCGCCACTCCATAAAGGCCTGAAAAGTGTCACAGATATCATTTAATGAACCTGAATGCAGCTAACTTATGAGTCACGGCAGTCACCATCATCATACAACACGTCAGCTGGAGGTGGAAAACACCTTAGCCATTAGGTTACGACAGTCAGTTGGTGCTAGCCGCTGGCGTTCAGAAATTATGAGTCGGATTTCCAGTGGAGCAGAGATAAGCGCGCCACTGGCGAAACAACCATCTTGTGCTTTTCTCGAAGTAGTCTGCGACATACCGGCACAAACAAAGCAAAATAAACCGTGTATTATGTCCATTTATACATTAGAAGACCAGCGAAGATCCTTTTTTGACAATTCGCATCGGGCCTTTACATTGGTGGGGAAGATTGAGAAAACAAGGAAGCTAACTAAAGTTGGAGCGCTAGTTGTAAAATCACAGTTTAAAACAGGGCCAGTGAAGCCGCTCGACAATTCTGTCAATCAAGTCAGGTGGTAGAAGTCACGACACTACATCGCGCGTATACACACAGACACAGAGAAAGTGAGAACGTAGAAGCTAATGGGGAACAAAGCTCACAGTTGACCAAGGTTACTGTCAGATACAGACGGAATTCTGGTGACGGCCAAGGCAAATTGAAAGCTTGTATCAGCATCCTTCGTCTGCACAATTCAAGTCAATAATAATAATAACAATAATAATAATAATGATAATGTCAGATGTACACTGTAACGGTGCTTCGCTATCGCGTGACCACAACGTCGCACGTGGACTGAGTATGCCGCGAGGACACCTGTCCCTACGCGGGTTGCAATAGCCTGATCGCCAACACTTCAGCAGTGGCCGGCAGGCGCTTCCTAAGTCCTTTGGGGATGCGCTTCGATACAGTGTAGACGACTTTGAATCCGTCCTCAGTCCGAATCTGATGCCCAGTACTAATCAGATGCTCAAGGATAGAACTATGTACATTCCTACCCGTGCCATGTTGTAGGGAGGTAGGACAATGTTCCGCTATATACTCTTAGGCAGACGCCTGGTCGTGCGCCCGATATACCTTGCAACACATGTGCAGGTGAATTGATATAACACAAATTCGGCACGAGCCGGGACACAATAGCTGAGGCGTTTTCCACCTGTTGCCAACGTGTATGAATGAATGAAATGACTGTCTTTAAGGCGTTTAAAGAAGAGCAGAACTGTCTCGGTGACAATGTGTACGCTAGCAGCCGGATATGTTTGGCTCATTACGATCGACAGTCTTCTGCTCAGCAACTCGCAGAGGATATCCCCTTTGAAAGGAACCGAAATGGATCCTTTTTCTTTAAACTTGGTATTGTGTCAAGGTGATCACAAGTGGCAGAATATCTTTTGATAAACGTAGCGGGATACCCATTGGCATGTAATGTCGCGAGAATGAAATCCTTCTCAGCATCTAACGTTTCTGGGCTGCAGATTCTTACGACACGATAGAACAAACAGCGTACAAGATTTCGCTTGTATTTCATTGGCACATAACTATGAAAGTGTGTATATAATGACCAGCACCTGTTGTCTTACAGAAAACTCTCCTTCTAAGCGACTCATCAACTCATCGCTGCAGTAACACATCCAAAAACGAGATTTCCCCACCTTTCTCCAGCTCACAAGTAAATTACAACGACGGATGCGCATTGTTGAACTGGTTCAGTGTTTGTAGGTGATCAACGCGGGAGTCGCACATGATGAACGTGTCGTCTATATACCGCCCATAGTAATGAAGAAAGGTGACAGGACACCGGACAGGGCTGCGCCCGTCGCAACGAGTGGACCATAACGTGATGTGACGGTTTGTGTACTTCGTCGACCCATTAAGCTAAACTGAGTGGGTCCCTTGGATCCATTGAGAGCTACCTCTACGAAGTTGGTCAATGATTAGAGGTCAGACAAACTCAGTCTCCTGGTCCTCCAGGTTGGGGATTTGATTTGGGACGGCATCCATTTCTGTTGCCACATTCGCTAAGTTGCAGACAGGTTTTTGAGCCAAAGGTTTCGGTTGAGGAAGCTAATCGTTCTCATGTCTAGGTCTGGGCGCCCTGGCAGTATCTCAGCCCAGGTACAGCCATGACTATTTCTTCAAACTTCAACCACATTCTGCATCGGCCGCCGCGCAGATTAGCAAGAGTCGTCTATTCTGCTGCATACAGCAGGCCGAATAAGCGAAAACATGCTACTGCTGGCGCATCCCTTCTTTCATTTCCACCATTTTCTCTAACTCCCCTCCCAACCCCGTTCATTAACCTTAATACTATAATTCCCAGCTCAATTGGCAGCAGCTGCAAGCCCACTGGAGTCACAGCACATGCAGCCATCTTCCTGCACCACCCACTGGAAGCCTATCGGCAACAGTTCCTTATAAGGCCACGCTAACCCGTTTCCCTGGCAACAGTCAAGATTCGAACTGTAAGACAAATAAGTCAACAGGTTATAATAGCACGCACGTTGGTGGTGAGGTCCTCTGCAAGACACTGACCTACATGTTCGAACAAGTCTGGAAAGGAGAGGCCATCTTAGCTAACTGGAGTAAATCGATTATAATGGCAATGTACAAGAAGGGCAGCCGCAGCGACTGTGCTAACCATAGGGGTATTAGCCTAACGCCGGTGGTGACAAAATTACTGCCCTCAATTCTTGTTCGTCGCCTCACTGCAAAACAAGAATCAAGGGTTAGGGAAGAGCAAGCAGGTTTCCGCCTAGGACGTGGCTGTGTAGACCATATATTCACTTTGCGGCAGGTGCTAGAGCAGCGCCACGCATACCGCAGACCGAAAATAGCTGTTACTCGCCTTTAAGAGAGCGTCCGATTTAGTAGATCAATGCATTCTGCTCGAAATACTTGTGCGGAAAGGTGTTCCTATGAAACATGTGAACCTTTCACGTGCCTTATACTAGAACAACACAGGCCGCCACAGGGTTTACGGTGATTTGCCGGATACCTTTCTGACAATAAGTGGCGTTCGTCAGGGTTGTCCGGTTTCCTCGAATCTGGTTCGACTTCGTAGTGGACTGCATCATGGAGTGTTCCCCTTCGGAGCCTCACGATGCAGGCGTTGAGGCACTGCTGTTGAAAAACTGGTTGACCTTGATTATGCGGACGATATTGCCCTGCTATTTAACGATACTGGGATACCCCAATTAACCCTGAATAATTTCTCTATGGTGGTCCCGTCATTTCGCACGTTAAAAGTGCAAAGTGCTGCTGCAGGACCACCAGCCACTTGATGACCCCTTAACCCTTGATAACGAGGAATACGAGGTGGTTGATCAATTCACTTACCTTGGCAGCTGCATCAGCAATGATGGGCGCATAGAAAGTGAAGTCAGTTCACGCATTGCAAAGGCTAAAACTGCCTTCTTGAATCTGCGACATTTGCGGCGTCAGAAAGGGGTTTCTCTAGGTCTGAAAGGCCTTATATACAAAGCTACAGTGAGGGTCGTCCTACTCTATGGAAGTGAGACGACCCCTTCGATCTAAGGACCTGCGTCGCCTTCAAGTCTTCCTTCACTGTTGTCTGCGAAGCATTGCTGGTGTCGGATGGCACCAGCGTGTCCGTAAAGATGATGTGCGCACGCGAGTGCTAAGCAGTAATAGCCAAGCTAGTTCCTTACTACAACAGATAGCATTGAATTAGGTGCGTTGGTTAGGGCACGTAATACGTAAACTTGATCATCGGTTACCGAAGAGGGTTTTGATTTGCTTGCCAGATGTAGGGTGGTGCAAGACCCGAGGTGGGCAAAAATTAACTTGACAGAAAGAAACGAAGTCACTGACGACTAAAGCCCGTGTCCTCGGTCCGTCTCGCCTTCCAAGCTGGAATCCACATGATCCACCTTATGCTTGGCTTGAAACGTTACAGGACATGGCTCGGAGCCGACACCAGTGGCTTGTCTGTTGCCGTCTCCTAGTCGCACCGACTGTTTAACGTGTGTTTGGTATTTATCTTCGCACTATAGCCAGTTGTTTGTGCTGCTGATAAGGTGTATGCACCTTGATCTTGAGTGTTTGATTAGGCCACTAAGTTTTACGCTAGGTCCCCATTCTCTCTCGCTTATTGTTCTTCGATCCGTAGGTCAGCGTGGTTGTACAGAAGTGTAGGTGGCGGATGTACTGCCGTTGGTGGCGATGATGTTGATAAGGGACACGCTCAAGTTGTGCGAGGGAGGAATCGGGAAGATGCGGTCATAAAGGAGACCCAACTGGAACTCCATCCATTTGTCGGTAATAGCTTCCGTCGAACAGGAATTAAGGTGCCGCGCAGAAGTAGCTCATTCACTTTTTGGATAGGAACATCATTAGCAATATTGGCATGGGCTAGACACTCGCAGCCCCAGCTTTAGTCAGCTTCCTTATTTGCTCAATCTTCCTCACAAATGTAAATGCCCGATGAGAAGTGCAGAGAAGAGATATCTTCGCAATTGTTCTAAACCAAAATAATTAACAATAATAATTTATATTTTCAGATTCACGAGAGAAGTCCTTTCTGTAGATATAATAATTAGCAAAATGGAGAAATTTACCGTTTAATAAATGGCCCCTGACTGGGAGTAACGGGATTTCCAGCGGCCGGAAAACCAGGTGTTCGAGCATTCCCCACGGAAGTGTTGTAATAAGGTTGATGTGCGTTCGGCGGAGGTTTTTGAAAATATCGGTCGGATTTCTGCTTCTTGGAACTGTAACAGAAAAAAATCCCAGAAAAACCGTGTTAGAAAAAAAACACAGAAACGAAATCGATATAAACCACAGGCAGTATGTCAACATGAAGAACCGGTAACTGGTAAGGACTTCTCTACTTCTACGCTTGGCGTAGAATGCAACACGATTTGGAGTCGACCTAAGTGAATATTAGAGCACGGTAGTTACTGCTGGCAGGCATCTGTCAGCGCTGCAGCCTTGCTGCTTGTCTTTAGCCTCATTTTTCGTGCGCTACGTTGTGCCTTCGATGGTCCGGATCAACTAGCGATGGCCAAAACAGTGAGACGAGTAGTTAAACCGTAATGCTGATGGTTTGTCGAGTGCAAACTTCAACGGACATTACACAACATATTTGGATTACACCAGCTCCTGAACACTTCGTCTTTTGTCCTCTATTCTGCAGACACCTTTCATGACAAACATTTGCGCATACAAGCAATGGAACTCCAATAAAAACAGCCGCGTTGTGGTGAGAGAGAGGGAGAGAATTTATCCATTAGACTGAGGGGGCATATTGGGTTTCTTAACGATCGTCAGGCTGGTTAAACCTCAGGTAAATGATATCGAAATCCACACAATGGCAATACATCCTAGTACGCGGCGAGATATCCATTCATCGAACATATGACAGGCGCGTATATATATATATATGTATATATATATATGTATATATACATATGTATATATATATATATATATATATATATATATATACCGCCTCCTACAATACAGTGAAAGTTGGACGCTTTATCGGAAGGAGGTTCGTTATCTAAAGCGCTTCTATCAACAGTGCCTGCGTCATATTCTGCACATCGGATAGGGTGGCCAGGCTGTTGACACGCAGTGGCGTGTATGCATTAGCCCGCATACATTTGCTGCGGCATGCTAAGTGGCTCAAGCATGTTCCCCGCAAGGATTTGACCCGGGTGCCGAAATAGATGCTTTATGGCCAGCTGTCTGTAGGGAAGCGAAACGTGGAAAAACCGAAATAACTTTACTATGACATGAGCAAGGTAAGTTTATCACGAACTAATGTTGATTTCAGGTCTTGGTATGTATGTAATCTCAGCAGTGTAGTAAACAGCCACAGAGCCAACAGAAAACCATAGAGATCAGCGGATAAGCAACAGTCATCGTGTCGTAATCATCGTGGCATAGTAGTTGAAGGTGAGCAACACACTTCAGCTAATATGCCGCAGGAAGAAAGGAACATTTTGACAAAATGTAGAACAAAACATTTTTAGTTTGTTTTTCACACCCCAATTTTGCGCCTTTTCTGCCATTCCCAATGTTTGAAGCATTAAATATGTTAATCAATACAATACTGTACACAATTCTCCCATTGATTCCGGTTGTGGGCCATGTCTTCAAGTGTTAAGTCATTGACAATCTTCATCTTCGGGTCCCCATCCTGGAAGACGTTTGGATCCAACAGCGGCTAGACACGATGTCAGCGATTTCATGTGCTGCCGCCGTGTAGAAGGCTAATCACCACGCGGTCGCCTCCAGCCAGGTCCTTGACGAGCGAATAGAGCGCGACACGGTAGACGCTCAGGTGCCATGCGTAGGACGTGACCGAGCCATCTTAACTGGCGCAACAAAACCAATGTGAGTTTCTTTGTCCCACCCCATCCCTCGTACCCTCTCTCTCCAACTACGATCTCAATGTTTAACATTTTATAATTTTGCATAGTAAATTACTTTTTTTTCTCCTGCATAGTATCCGGCAGGTAGCTTACCGGAACGATGCCCATCTGTTATCGGTACTTCAGCTGGCTTGTAGCTTTCGCATTTTATTGCCTTTTTTCTTTTAGGCATTGCGGCACAGTAGCTGAGGTGTTTCCCACCTCTAGCTAACGTGTATAGTATGTGTGTGTATATCATTTAAGGGAAAATGTACACGAGAGAGATCGGTTTGAGGCAGGACAATGCGACGACCACCCATACACATAGACAGCCACATATACCAGCATACATAGCGGAGGCGAAGGATGAAAAGGGACTGAACCGGGGAGGTTTGGCGAATACGGAGAGAAATGTAGAGTGGGAACAATTACAAGCGACGAAAAAGAGTAGCAGCTCACCAAAAAAGTAATATGGAGAACCCACCGTTTCCACGGAAGCACACATAGTCCGCAACACTTGTCCAACTCCTCCAAATTCTGCTCAGCTTGTCTCAAATCATGATGAATCTCGTCCATATTTCGGTCAACCTCACGTAATTGTTCTGTGATATCAGAGTAACAGAGATTTCAAAGCATCAAGGGTAGAAATGGCAGATAGTTAAAATAATGAAAATCGGAACAACAATATGTACAATGTCAGATTTTACAAGAAAGCAGGAAAAATGGTGAGAAGAGCCTGACAAGACTTGCACCTCCAAAGATCGGTTAGTTGAACCATCGTGCATGGCCATCCAATAAGTAAATAAAATGAAGTAGTCATGGAAAGCATTTCGCCAACTAATTGGTGTCGGAGGAGCCAGTGTGCCTGTGCTGAAGGTCGGGGATTAGGAATAAGAACGAGATTGTTAATGCTCCACCGCACGTCAAAACAATACAGAGGGACGTCTAAGCACGAAGAAAGTGGGACAAGCCTTCAAACGAGTGACATCGAATACCTCCAACCTCGTCATGCTAACCAACAAAAGGAAGTATGACGCATACACACGTGAACTCACCGCCCTGGCTCTGCAACTGCTGCATTGTGGCCGCGCCCGTTTTCTGACTCTAAACAACAGAAGTGGAAGAGCGATGCCGTTGCTGCAGTCCGAGGACGCTTACTGGAGTGCAAAATGAACACAGAACCCTGGTACAATCGCAAATTGCAGTTAGCTAGGAACGGTGGAGAGATAGCATGAAACCAAGAAACAGATTCGACAGAGACAAAACGGTTTCACAACTCCTGCATAGAGACACAGAACCTAGCATGTCGAATGACATTAAGATACAGCAGCACCGACAGGTGCATACATTTATTGAAAACTACGAGGCTAAAGCAAGTGGTTTGTTGCAAGACGGGCCGAGAATGTCGTGAGATAAGATACGAAAAATATTTACCAGCAGGTGTTCCAAAACGAGTGCAGTGCCAAGATAATAGGTAATGTGTGAGCTGTACGCTGTAACTGCGCTTCGCTGCTGCGCGACCACCACTAGTCGCGTGCGGGCTGAGTATACCGCGAGGACGCTCACTCGTACGCGGATTCAAACCGGTGACCTTATGACTGCAAGCCAGACATGTAGACCGTTCGGTCACCGGCCCACACAATGTCAAGATAGTAGCTCTTCGTACTGGATTCCGCTATTATCGTCTCGGTGATATAACGGAACAGTCTGAATGACTGTCGGCACTCAACAGGTGCCGAGTACTGAATGTGACCCCAAAGAATATAGGGAAATTAACTCGGCGGCGCTCAACCGAGTCCTAGGCAAGAAATGTGTCGCACTGTAGGAATATGATCCATGAAATGAAGAGCGATGGAACTAAATGCATTGATTTGTCGCCAAATTTATGTAAATGAGGACAACAAACACCGTAAAAATTGAAAAATGGAGTGGGATCCATCCAAGAACATGATTATAGTTTCGTGAGGCTGTAAATAAGGTTTACCAAAAACGGTCCTGAAGGATTTAGAAAAACTCGTGGTGTTTGACCTCCATAAAGTAAGCACCCGCTGTTATGATTAACCGCAAATAAGCTACAGGGATCCTGGGTATAAAAGTACGACGAAATCCGGACGGAGTAAGCGTTCAATGAACACAGATGTAGGTAACTGGTCGCATGTACACCAAAAGTTAATAGCATAAAATACGTCTTCATGTGGCAAATCGCGATAATGGGTGTCTACGCAGTCTCTGGAATTTCCGACACTCAGACGCATTCAGGTTGAAAGCGGACACAACGAGACTCCCAAAAATGTCACGGTAAAAATTCGATTTAAATTGATGGGACTGCGAAACGTGGTGGCCGCCACGTGCATAAGACATGGAAAGACCGCAGCTCTTGGTAATCATCAGAAATTATTCCATCCGGTCCGGGAAACAAGTAGTGGGAGACTCAGTGTTAGTGAAACTATATGCGACGAGAGTGGACAGCCTATCCATCTCTCTAGCTCCTTTGAACGATTTGTAGGATTTATTAGTGAAATTGTAGGAAAAAGAAACTGAAAAAAACTGAATGCAGCTGATCCATCATAGTCCTGCTATTCAAAAAAGGTTTCCTGACTGTCGATTTCCGTTCTATTCCGATGTGTTTAATGTGCATAATTATAAAGCCCCTATCAACCATCATCTCGCTTGCTGTAACTGATCTGTTCAACAGGTGCATTACCGAGCGAATGCAAATGCTCGGTATTGAAAGCCGATTCCGAACGGCGGTTATGATAAACGTTCTGGTTGGGTTTCGACTATCCTGACCGGAACGGACGAACTCTCCACTCGTTATTCCCCACACACAAAGTAGCCTAGGCGATTTGTATTGAAACGGCTGGTGGACTTAGCCGGCAGACGTAAACTCGCAATTGATAAAGCAGACGGAACGTGCAACATTTCACAATTGTACTGACATCCGTAGAAAGAAGACTGGCCAAGAGTAGAGTGTGTTTACTGACTCAACCAAGGCAATCGTGTGTGGTGGTGAGTCCACAGTGAGCATGCCACTTGTCTATCGAAAGTCGGATTTAACGATTTGGTGCCAAAAGTTCGAAAGTTGGTCGATCGCTGCAGAGGCGAACTGAAGAATAGTACGCAACGAAGCTCGAACGCTGATCAAGAGTGTAATAGCAAGGAGATATGTTCTACATCTGTGAGTGGTTCTAATTGACTGGAAATATAAAAGGAGCTTGTGTTCTATGAATAATGGATCCCTAATGGAGGGCCAGACGTTGACTTTTTGCTTCACGGGTCACTTGACACCGTGCTTTCTACACCTTCATATTTATAGTTCACTAAAACAGTAGTAATTGTACAAACTATAAGGGAAGGAGTGGGTTCCTTTGCACATGAATTGCCATGTAGTGGTCCTATTTCCGGGCAGATGGGCAGGTTCGATGCTGTTGAGATGTCGGCACATCACAGTTTGTGAGTGTGATCGGTGGCTAAGTCATTGGCATGAACACAGCTCGGGAGACAGACTGCTGACTTAAAGAGAGTCCGGGAGATATGATAGTGAGACTTGGGCGAGTTCTGTAGAAACTATGCGGGATACGTTGGCCGTGTTCTCAGTGAGAACAACACCGTTGTGATCTGTGAGGACGAGTGAACCGTTGGTGGCAGTTTGCGTAGGGAGAGCTCCGCTTGGAATTGAGTTGTTTAGGTCTGTGCATAACGACCGTGTTGTTCGGGACTGATAGTGTACTGGAGCAGTGAAACCCTGGTGAGTCTAGCAGGGTTGTGCAACCCTGTAGCAGCAGTGACGCGACTAAGGTGGACAATTACCAGTCAATTTGTCTCACCTCTGTTTTGGCGAAAGTGCTTGAGGTTTGTAAAAATGGATCTTCTCCAGCTGTTAGAGTTGAAAGACTTATTAACGCCCACACAACACGGTTTTATGTATGGCCGCTCTTGCATCATTGACTTGTTGTTGATGAAGCACGGATGGTTGCAAGTGTTGAACCGGGGGAAATTAGTAGATCTACGTTTATTTCAATAAAGCTCTCGATAAAGTGAAGCATGAGGTCCTCCTTTACAAGCTGAGGATGTGTGGTCTTTGTGGCGCACTGCACCAGTGGATAAGTGACTTCCCCAATGGGAGAGAATAGCGGGTATAGGTGGATGACCACCCGACGGAATGGCACCTCTCCACGAGCGGCACAGTACTGGAGCCCATTTTGTTCCGGATCCACATCAACAAAGTACCTGTTCTTCGGTCACCCTGTGCACTGTTTACAGACGAGCTGAAGAGTTAGGGGGTTATTGATTCTCTCGATGACCATGATGTCCTCCAGCAGTACCTCGACCGTTTGTCCCTGTGGTTTGCATAGGTTGATCTGCAGGGCAAACTCGTCAACTCGTTATTTATGAGTCTGTGGAAGGATGGTAATAGGTGTACGTACATCATAGTCGGCCAATCGTTGCATCCCACAAGCTCCGTAGATGAACTAAGTGCATTCTCACGTTGTAATCTGAAGCCCGTCGACCAGACGAACAGACTGTAAGGAGACGGACTAAGCTTGCTTTCGACGCTTAGACGCAACGCCGCTCGCCTGTTCTCGTCCATGATAAGATCGGTGCTCTTAAGTACGGCTCACCCGCCTATTGTCCGAACAAAATAATTGAGGTGCAGAGACTGGAACGGGCTCAGCATGTGGCTATCTGACTCAAGCCAGTTTACGGGGTGCCCTACGCGGACCGAATAAGGAGACCAGGGCTGTATACCCTGTCATATCGTCGACTTCGAGTTGATCTCATAATGACGAGTCGGATATTGCGCTTAGGCCACTTCCCTATCTTGAAGGCGCTGCTGCACATCCGCGCATAGAGCAGTACACGTGGACACCGGTACGAACTGGTGGTATTGTAGTTGAAGTAAAGTGCTCACTCTCTATGCTTCAAGCGCCGAGTGGTGAATAGTGGAACAAGTTGCTGGAGAAAATCATCATCAACATCATCAACAGCAGTACATCAGCCACTTGAACTGATGCTTCGCTGCCATACAATCATGAGGACCTACGAAATAAAGAATAAGAAGATGGAGAGAAGGGGGATTTACCTGAAAACGTTAATGCCCTAAGCAAACATTCTGGGTCAAGGCGCCTACACCTTGTGTAGACAACATACCGTCACAAACAGCTGACTATCGTGCAAAGATAAGGCGGAATCGGCGAGACAGCTTCCATGCGGCTTTCACTGCCACGCGTCATAATCAGCCATTATCCCGCAGATAACTCAGCACCAAACATACTTTAAACAGGCAATCCGATTATAAGACGGTAGCAGACGCGCCACTGGTGTCTACTGCGAGCCATGTCCTGCAAAGTCTCGAGCCAAGCACAAGGTGAGTCAAGTGGACTCCAACCCGGAAGGCGAGACGGGCTGGAGAAAATAGTCGAGGCGAAATCGGTGTCGGAATATAGGAGATTCCTCGACGCCCATTTTGCGGATTACAGGTATAAAGAGCGTATCGCAACTGAATAAGATAGAGTGCAACTGTAATATGCTGCCACAGTACGAAATCAGCGACGTGATTCCGTGCAGGTGCTCGACCTAACTACGATGGAGAAACACAGATTTATATCTTCTCGTTCTGTAATTCCGGTATTCAGGTCGGATTACGGTAATCAGAAGTATCATTCTTATATTTATGGCCTCCAAGTTACCTGCCTTCGTCGTTCATCATCATCATCATCATTACACGTTAGCTGGAGGTGGAAAACACCTCAGCTATTGTGCCGCAATACAAAAGACAAGAAAAGGAAAACAGTGGCACGCCCGCTGAGTCCCCAGTAACGGCCTTCGTCGTTCTTCATTGACTGGCTAAAACTTGTGAAAAACAACCCGAGTTTAGTTTAAATCGAGGCTGGACTTACCATATCCTTAAGTTGCGCCTATTTTACAGGCACTACCACATTTATCAGTGACCAACCCTAGTCGTGTTCCTCGACAACAAAAGTGCCTTCGACTCGGCTGATTGTTGTGTCCTTTGGGACTGCCCACTCAGGTGTCCGAGAAATATGTAAATACTATCAGAGTGCTATATACGAGTGAGAGTTTATGACAAACAATCGCCGCCT